AACCATTAGAAAAGAAAGGGGCATGTGATTTGATATGGGAAAGATAAACATTATGCATAGGTTAGACAGGATTAAATGACGAGGGATTAGACAATGATATTTAATTTGGGCAAATATTTGCAATATTCCTATGCAAAATATTTGCATATATTATTTTACTATGGCTAATACTACAACAACAGTGACCATTAATATAATATAATTAATGTATTTATAAAAGAAATATTTATTTCACTTTATTATTATTATTATTAATTATTTATTTTTTAGTGTTTTTATTATTCTTACTTTTTTATTTTTTTATTTTTTTATTTTTATTTTTATTATTATTATTGCCTGTAAATCCCTACATTCTATTAGCAGCAGAACATAAATATCCCAAAATGTCACTCAAACCTACACATGTATACACACAAATAGACACAAATTGTCTTTTTTCATAATTTTACTGGAACTAAAATTCAATTCAACCCATGTCAATTCATACTGTACAATTGTGGTTCACTAGAAAAATATGTCAATATCAATTCAACTAATCAATCTATCCTGGTTAACTAATAAACTACCAAACTGTTAAACCAATGACGTTATTTTCCCTGGTCCTCATAAGAAAACCTAGTATGGGCTGTCGGGATACCAGACTAATTATTTATGTGTGTGTGTGCGCATATGTTTGAACACAGACATGTGTGAGTGTGTGTTTGTGTGCATGGAAGCATGTATGCATTAGGGTGTGTAAGCTCTGAGGGGAAATTCCTCTCTCAGGCCTGGGAGTCCTTCCTGTCGTAGAGCAGTGTTTGTACAGACTGTCTTTGTCGGGATATCCTACCCTGCCCATGTCTGAGAGAGAGAGAGAGAGAGAGAGAGAGAGAGGGATGATGTGGTGTCTGAGAAACAAGAGTGAAGGAATGAGAAGTGAAGCAATGAAAGCGTCAGCAGCTGGAGTTTTTAAGGCTGGAAAACACAGCTGCATTTTTTTGCTTTAAACCTTCACATGTGAGACTTTTGCATGCCATCTGCCCAGTGGTTTCAACAGGCATAGTTTCCTCTAATCCCAAGCTCTGCTGCCGCTTAGGCAGTGTGAGTCTGCAGGCGGAGAGTCGGGGTCAGGCGACCAGACACCCCGCAGCCCCAGGCAGGGGCAGATTCATCACTAGCGTTAATTCTCTCTTTTTGATCTTGTTTTGGTTCTGTGTTTTTGTTGTTGGAAAGTCCCCGTTCTCTCCATCTATGCCAGGCTCTACGTGGTTCATGTCTGTGAGCAGTAAAAGCCAGACCTGATTGAACATGAGTGTTGTCTGCAGAGAGGGCAAACATGTCAGGCTCGGACGCTGCAAAGAAACTGATCAATAACGCTGTGAAGTGGAAGTAGTTGAAGAAGCGATTCTCCGTGTCTGGAGAAAAGAAAAACAAAAATCAAATACGCGCACATTGTGTCATGGATTTGTTGTTGCGCCCAGAACATCACTGACACCTGTATGGATTTTACTACAGTATTACAGTAGAGTCAACAAATAATAATGGACCTGTTATTGCAAGAAAGCCTTTCAACATGTTTCCTTGGTTGAAGATTAGACAAAAGCTCCGAAAAGGAGTCTTGGGTGTAGTAGAAGAGGAAGAGGATGAGGAGGAGGAGGAGGAGGAGGAGATTTTGGTGACTGGTGTAACACTAATTAAGCACCTGATCTGCTGTTGCAGCAGCAGCAGAGGAAGAAAGTAGTGTACGATGACAGGGAAGATGTTCACGAAGGCGAAGAAGAACGAGCAAAATCAAGATAAAAGCAAAGAATAAAATGAAGAAGATGAAGCTAAAGCTGAATAAGACAACGTAGAATAGTGATCATCAACTGCCGGCCTACGGGCCAAATCTGGCCCACTGAACCAGCCAATCCAGGCCACAGCTGAATTCTAAAATAAATATCAAATAATAGTAATATCAGACAGAAATATGGCCCTGAAATAGAAAAGAAGAAGAAGAAAAAGAAAAGCAGAAGGAGAAGCAGCACAAAAGAGGAAGAAGAAGAAGAAAAAGCAGAAGCTGAAGCTGAAGAAGATAACGTCACCAATGACATGCTGTACATAGTCCCACACTTCAGCCTGTGTGTGACGTCACCGCGGGCGAGCTGAGGGACATCCGACCACATGAGGTCTCCGCAGGAGGATGTAGGACACGTTTACTGCCAGGTGCGAGACATTCACCATTCCCATTATGTCATTTCCCAGCTGTCACCACTTTGGCTATTATCACCATAAATGGCAGAAATAGACCTGCGGTTTGTGTCACACACAGATAAAAATATCACTCTTATCACGGACTCTGATCTCAGCCTCGTGTTTGTTCCTGTGATTTTCATCGCGTTGCGTGTTGTTGTATCTCTAAACACACTCCTCAAACCACTCCACCTATCCTGACCCCGTAACGCCTGACGCCACGCCTGACGTCAAGTTGTGATTGCAACAGAAATTACCTTTGTGCTGCTTTGCATGCGTGTGAGTGTGTGTGTGAGTGTGTGTTTTGGAAGGGTTGTCAGGAAGGGCTCGTCATCGGTGATGTTTCCTATGAAGTCATATCAGTGGTTCTTCTATTTCAACCTGTTAACTCCGGCCAGTGTGACACAGATCCTCCGTCCCGTGTGTATCGTGACTGAGGAGGTGAGTGTGTAGGTTGGTGGTTGAAACGGCAGCAGCATGAGCAATGCACACACACAACCACGGCAAGATAAGATGAAGCATGAGAAATAAGAGTGATGTAGCAGACTGTGCACAGGCCAGCAGTCAGGTGGCGCTGCGTGTGCAGTTCTACAGCGGCGGACACTTCATCATATTTGACCTGATTGTCAAAAGCTCCGACTGCAGCGGCAGTTTTCATCCTGCTGTTGAGCCGATGTGCTGATCGCCCCCTGCTGAATCATTAACACCGGGGAATCACGTCAGTGCTTCCATTCATTTACAGAACATGTATGTACATGTACAGCACTTTGACTTTGAGTGTGTCTGTTACACAGTGATCTATCACCTGGTGTAATGGTGCACACATCTAGAGGGGAATTAGGTGACGTAATCCTGTCATTTACAAACGCAATATCCTTTTGGCCCTATTAACATTGTTAAAAAATTATTACAAGTGCAATGCAACATAGATGGGTCCTTTGGAGAAAACGCTCTTTAACTGTGTCCTTAACCTATTGAGTATCAATCTAAAACTAAAAGCTGAATAAAACATTGATTTATATGTTTGATTCTCAGTAAAATTCAATGTGTGTTGATGGGACTTCTGTTTCAGAAAATCTGCAAGGTTACTGCTGTCCCCCTTACTTTACTACCTTTTAGCAGTATTGCTCCCCTATATCCACATATACAAGAAAACAACACCTATATAGAAGTGACCTTTCCATTTACTACAGCAGTGGTTGTTAATTATTTTCTGCCACGCCCCCTCTTGGGGACAGAAATGTTTTCACGCACTCCCCTTCCCTCCCAACCCAAACCCCCGTGAATTGAAAAACTATTGAGATTTGTATCTGTACGAACCACCGTATGAGTTGCTGCCACCTAGTGACCGGAGGCTTGTTATCATTCATGCAATTACAGCAGTGGTACACTGATGTCCATATGTGTGTCATATTCCATTAGAAGCCCTTCATGCCCCCCCTGGGACCTCACCGCACCCCCCAGGGGGTCCCGCCCCACCATTTGAGAAGTACTGTACTAGATTTATAGATATTATATATATGTCTGGTAAAACAAATGGTCTTGTTGCATTCTACTTGTAATGACATTGTGAGCCTCATCAAGAGGTACAGTCAAAACAGTCTCCCCCTGTGGGTACGTTCTGTAACTGCAAGGCTGTTCTTAGATTGTTACGTAACCAAGAAGAACAACAAAGAGCTAAAGCACAAACACAACACACATACTAAACATGCAGCTACTAACATTTCTAGGTGTCAACCTGCTGTTTGACTCAGGCTCAGGCTCTAGTTCTGACACAAAAATGTGGAACAGTGTGTGACAAAAGAAACCAACCAGAGATGATGCATATGTAGGTTTAGGGCAAACGTAAAAGCTGAGACCGTCTAACTGCAGCTGCTCCATCTGTGCTGATGCCAGGTCCTAATAAACTGGCCGCCTGCCCAGCGCAGCCAAGCAGCCCTCATTATCACCACGTCTTGTGAACACACTGTATGTGGGTGTTCGTCTGCATTTTTTTTTTCAAAATCTTTTCACTTCTCTCTTTTGTCTTTCGCTCTAATCCTATTCTTTTCATCTCACGAGACGAGTGTTTCACCTCCCCCTGACCTTTGCTCTCCTTATTCACCACATCTGAAAAAACCTCCAGGAGTACCACAGATGGTTATCCCTCCTCTGGCTGCAGCTACCGCATTTCTCATCTTCCACACACACTTCCTGTGTTATCACCCTCTCTCTCTATTTCTTCATTTCTAAAATCGCTTTCTTGACCATTTCCTTTGCTTTCTCCACCCGTGTTTTCATCCCGTCTCCTGCTTCTCTCCGCGTCTTCTCTTCTCTCTACATCTTCACTCTGCAGACTTCACACCGTGCTCTCGACCTCCTCATTCATCCTCCCTCAGGCGCTGCTCCTCCTCAGCTAAGACGTGACTGCACATTCATGCAGTCTGTCAGGAGAATCTTCATCTTCATGGCTTGGTGGATTGAAGAAAGTGATAAAACAAGAGCAGCAAAAAAAAAAAAAAAGATTGTAAAGTCTTACTTGGAAATCTGATCTGAAGTCCTGGTTGGTGATTTATAGGCTGATCACATGCATCAGAAATCTGCTGAAGTCTCCAGAGTGACATATTTCAGTGGGCTCTCTGTGGTGATGTGGTGGTGGATGAAGGGAAGTTTCACATCGACATCAGAACGTGAACATTTTTAGAATTGCTCAGATCTGGTCACACAACAACAGGTTTATGACATTTAAGACTCGAATATATGTTTGTGGAAAATGTTTGACCCGTGTTTTCTCTGCTGTTTCTTCACAGAAATCCTTTTCTCTGGTGTTGGAGGCTATGGACTTTGATAATGACACGTCAGAAACAGGTGAAGAAACACACACACACACACACTGTTACAAACATACATTTTCATGCATCAAATCTGCAGTTCCAAGGACCAACTTTATACATTTTTGTTGAACAATTTTTTCCTCATCATCATGAGGGTCTAGTTTTGTTTCAGCGTCTGTTTTGTCATCTTAATGACAAGCGTAGAATGTGAGATCTGCACAAGAGAAACAACAGAAAGTTTGGCCAAATGTTCCCTAACAGTCAGCCTCAGCAGGAGAAATTCAGCTTTGAAAATGTCTTCCCACTGAGCAGCAACTGTTCCGGCAGATTCTGTTCATTTGTCACATTTAACCAAATCTGTCAAAGGGAAAAAAGGCGAGGTTATTTTGCTGTGTTCAGTCCCGTTTTGGCTCTGAGGGGCACCGCTCTCCTCCTCTCACCAGGAAAACGTTGTCTTTTTTTTCACCAAGGCAAACAACAGTCCTTGTTTACAAGTGCTGTGGTTTGACATGGTAAAATCTCCTTTTTTTTTTCCCTCCCGTTGTGTCTGTGATCACACAAAGTGAGAGGGTCTTTTACTCTGTCCTTTTCATTTCCTGCTCTTTCTCCTCCTAATCTACCAAAGCTCCATGACAGGGGACCTGAGCTGCATACTATAAAGGCGTACAACACACATGTGAACACACACAGAGATGTAGACAGATGTTCATATGCCTTCCTCATTCCTGTCGTGCCACAGTCCTCCCTTTCATGCCTCCATCCTCTGCCTCCCTCGGAGAGGGGACCGCAGTGGTGTCCAGAAGATGCCTGAGATCATGGAGGAGTAAACGACACCTCCTTCTCCTCCTCATTCTGTTTGTGTCTCAGCTCCTTTTCCATTTCTCCTTCCTCCGTGTCCTGCAGCACGATTATTAGGTTTCACTTACATTTCATGCAGTTCTTCTCCTGAAGCTCTTTAAAGTCTTTTGCGTGCAATTTAAAGCCATGCTCTTCTCTGTTAGCGCAGCCTGACCCTGACACAGGTGTCCTGCAGCAGGAAAGACGGATTTATCAATCTGCTGATTTATCAAGCTGCTAATCCGAAAGGATTACCAAGCAGTCCTTGGAAATCGGGATGAAATATGACATTCTATGTAAACTGACGATGTCGCCTTTCCCGTAATTTTATGCAAATAAAATGTATCTGATGTCATTGAGCAGGAACACGCCGTTCCTGTGGATGATCCTGATTCCCAGTTCAATCTTAATCCCATCATTCAATTTCAGTGTCTCTAGTCCTAATAGGGTTTAACTCCCAAAAATGTCAGCAATTTCATATTTTTTAATATTATTCCGAAAGTTTATTTGAACATGTAGTCAACAAGGATAAAGAAAACATTCGAGAAAAAATCCTGATTTTTTTTTTTTACCAGATGAGCTTGAGTTGTTCAAGGGCAATATTTGCCTGTGCTTATCTGGCGAGGATTTTTATTATTATTATTATTTTATCCCTCTCCTTTATTCCTCCTATATTTAAATGATATGTTTATCTATGATATAACGGTCTTTTAGTATCCTCACTTTAAATTCTGAGCCTGTTTAGTTGAACACAAATGTGATTTACTCTCATGAATTGAAGAAAGACACACAACCCTTTTTTTTTTTAGTTTTTAAGTTTTGAAATGCCAAACTGAAATAGTTCATTTTTTCCAAATAGCTCTAATTTTCTTAGGTACACCTCATGATCTTTCATGGCACACTGAGGTGCCACATACCACTGGTTTAGAAACATCATATGCATGTACCAAACAAAAATGCAGAAAATAATTCTAATACATTTTATAATGATTCTTCACCTCGTTTTACCAGCGGATATGTTGCCGTTTCTCCATGACTCCAGTGCATTGACGTAACACTCAAAACCACAACCTCTGGAGAGAAAATGGAATCCAATATTAGGGCTGTAATAATACAGACCAGCTTCTCGATAAAACTAAAGACACTGCTTGTCACTTTTTTACGATGATGATGATAGGATCACTGGGACACGTCTTGGCACAACCTCCCTTTTGGCTCATTTCGTAGTTTTCAGAAGTGCGTTGATTTGTTAATATGTGATAGATAATGAAAAATGAAAAACATTTTCTGTCCAGCAGCGATGTCTCAGCAGGCGTGAGAAGCAACAAACCCACAGCTAACAGTCGACAGAAGCACAGAGTCACCCCTGGACTCCAGTTTAATCACTGAGTCCACCTGCTGGTATCATTCCTCCTGTGTGTGTTTGCTGCTCACGGTCTGTTTGCTTTTCTGTGAGGACGTGTTAATGCAGCAGCTCAGGACTATTACTGCTGTCATTTTTAATTTTCTCTCTATTTTTGTCCTCGTTTGCTGTTGTTCCAGCTCACTTGATCACCTTACAGAGGAACTCAGCCTCTTGTTATACCCCACTTCCCACTTCCTCAGCTCCGCCTGCCGCCCTCTCTGGGCTGGTGATAACGACGTTAGCCCGTCTGACCAGAGCCAGGGCCGTAAAATAAAGGGGGAAAAACACGAGGCGGTGATGTCGCGTGAAGAGCGTTTGGAAAACCCAGCACTTAGATTTGACTACAGAGCTAACAGTTTTACACTGACACACACACACACACACACACATACACATACGTGCTGGTATGTGTATGTGTTTGTGCCCCCCGTTTTCATTCCTTTGTGTCGAACCACAGTGATCTCATCTCTCCATCAGGCGTTATGAGTGTGTGTGTGTGTGTGTGCGTGTGTGTTAATAGCTGCTTCCCTTCCTCTTTGACTTAAACACACACACACACACCACTCTCCCTCTCTCCATTTTCTAAATTTTTAGGCTTCACTTCTTAAGTACACACATCTGTTTATTGGGACACACACACGCGTGCACACACACACACTATATTGTATTCACAATGCTTTGTGTTAATACTGCCTGTGAGTCGGGGGTGACGCTGCCTCTGGGAAATCCCCTCAGGGGGTCAGGAGCTCTGGTCACTGCCCTGGGCCTCATCCCTTGTCCCCTGTGCTATTCTGTCTACCCTTCCTCCCCCCTCCCCTCCTCCCCCCTCCTCCCTCCTCATGACATCACCACTGTCTTTGTTAGCACTGCCACAAAGAGGGCAATGTTTGCCCCACCGTCACTCTCTGACTGCCCTCAGCTCACACTGCTCAGCAGTACAGACTGAGAGGGTTGAGGAAGTGAGGAACTGAGAAGGGAAATGAAAGGTTGTAGTGAAAGGACACAGAGGTCATTGGCTAGTCTGACACTGAGACTGACATTCTCTTCAGGCATATAAACTGTATGTCCTTAAAATATCACAGGACACACAGTCAGTTGCTGTATCCATCAGTACTGTCACTGGAACAGTGACACACGAATAGCACGAAAGGAAGTGACGTTCCCTCAGGTGCTGTGGGAACCGGCAGTAACACTGAACTCTCCGATGGGTTTTAATCGTTTTCACTTCATTATTTTGGGTTAACAGTCGTTCACATTAGTGCTGTTTGTGGCCGCGGGCTCTTGTTTTCATTAGAGAGGCTGTAAAGGCCTCATGACGTGCTGTCATCAGCGTAAGGATGGTGACAAAAATGAAAGAGAAGGTTTAGATCATATGTGTCCAACTCAGGGCCCGCGGTCCAAATGCGGCCCGCCAAGTCATTTTGCGTGGCCCACTGGAGCTTAAAAAAGTTAAATTACCTGCTTCCGTGCTGCTGAGTTTCTTAACTTGACAAAAATATATTTCACAGAGCAGTGAACAATATTTGATACTGAAACCTGTATTAATACACTATGACTGGTTGTGGTGTGTTGTACCAAATTGCTGAGTGAATGAGTTGATGGTTTGAATGCAGAGGACACATTTCAAATGTACAACGACGATAAAGGAGATTCCTCTTCCTCTTCCTCTTCCTCTTCCTCTTCTTCTTCTTCTTTTTCTTCTAATCACTTTTCTCTATCTAATTCTTCCCCTCTCTCTCCTCTCAGGCCAGTTGATTGAGCGAGTTCTGCTCTCCTCCATGTTGAACCCCAGTGAACAGTGGCAGACGTATCGTCACCACGGGCGGATTCTCAGCCTGGAATATCGTCTCCGCTTCCGTTGTGACTCCAACTACTACGGACCGTTCTGTAACAAGTTCTGCCGGTCCCGCGACGACTTCTTCGGCCATTTTAACTGTGACCACAGCGGCTCCAAGGTCTGCATGGACGGTTGGACCGGGCATGAGTGCAAAGATGGTGAGGGAGTGAATAATATTTCAAAATGTAAAAGACAAAAATGCCTTGATTGATTTCGATCTGGAATTTATTTTAATAGAATTTTTCTCTAAATTCCAATCTATTTGTAAGAACACCGTGTCCTGCTCAGATCATATTTATAACCAACAAAATAAATCACCAGTTTTTTTTTCTAAAGGCCAGAAAGCTTTTCTCGTTTTCTCATCAATGGTCTTGGCCTGAATTCAAGTCCCTGAAAATTAGGAAATGTTTTTCAATCCTCAAAGGTGGAGGTGGGGGGGTTTCCTCTTCAGTATTTCTTTCCAGGGATTCCAAAAAGGTTTTCCATGATTATGACTTTCTCTTCCTGTCTATTGTTGCCCCATGAAGCGTCTAAAAACGACCGTTTAATGAACTACCTCGGGCCTCTTCTCTCTGCGGTACACGTGTACATCTAAGCCTCGGCACTCGAGCATTAATGCAAAGGTTACGTCTGTCTGAAAATGACGGGAAAAAGCCTTTTACAAAAATAGAATGTTCAGTTATTCAGTAAGAAGAACACGGAACGCCATCGGGACTGTACTGAAAGGGCTGTCCGTGACTCATCAGCTGGACGCCCTCGCTGCGTGACCTCGGACTTCTGCCATCAGGTTGCGATGGTAAAAGTGAGTGGAGGAAACCGGAGTGGGAACCATGGGAACCCCTGAAGGACACACGGCTAGTTAAGGGACATCCTGCAAACCCTGCCCATCCCGGCCTGACTCACTTCATCTGGCTTCCTCCTCAGCAGGTTGCTGATTGGGCTGCGGAGAAGCAGGAAGTTGATAAATGAACAGGGTCCGTGTGTTAGCCCCCTGCAGGTTAATGGCTGTGATGAGGTTCAGGGGGTTTTCAGGCTGAGCCAACTTTAGCTGCAGCCTCTGATTAGCTCTGCAGTCAAAGTAAAAATATCTGAAATGTAATATTTTTCTATTTTACATTGGTGATAATCAGAAGAACGTGACACCAGTATTTTAGAACACCAATATTTAGAGATCCTCTTGAAACCTTAGAGTTCTAAATCTGTGTATATTTGTGTGTGTGTGTGTTGTTCACAGCTGTGTGTCGACAGGGATGTCATCAGTCTCACGGCTTCTGCACCGAACCTGGAGAATGCAAGTGAGTCAGACAACTCTTTAAATTTATCAAAAAAACAAAAACAAAATCCCATTACCTCTGAATCCTAATCTTTACTCCGCGCTGTTCCAAAAAGGAACAATAACCAATGTCAAAGCTTCGGCTCGTTAATCACTCCTCGCAGAATAAGCCCTGATTGGATCGCCGTGCTGCAGGTTAGAAAAATACTGTAGACAAAAATCCATTGACGTGAAGTCCGCAGTAATTTACTGAACCATCTATGATTCACGGTCAGCGGCCAATTCCTCCTGGAGCAGCTAAAATGTGATATTGATTGGCTGTGGTGTGGTTGGAGCGCGGGGTTGTTTTTCCCTTGAAAATGGGCTTGAAATCCAATGGAAGTCGGGCCAGTTGTGCCTTTGTCTGTTTCTTCATCAAGGGAAAGTTTCACTGTGACATTTACCACCGCAGCAGTCCATCACTTAGAGGAGACAAGACACACACACACCCTGAACACTTACCAGAAAAACACCATTCTAATGACCACAATAACACAAAAGGCTTAAACTCAACCCTCCACTGTCATTCAGAAACAATTATTCTCAGGTAATTATGTAATTAAGTTTTCACAAGGGGGAAAGTTTTTTTTTGTAAAATTTAAAAAAATAATTTTTAATTCTTTATTTTTAAATTAAATACAGTTTATATAACACACAGGGCCACCAGTATGGGGCGAGGGGATACAAACAGGCTATTTATTGAAAAGTAGAGATCAGGTGCGGGGGGGGGGGGGGAGACAAGAGGGTCAGCTGACCTGAAACCCCAATCAAATCTTTGCTGACCCCTCCCTGCTGCAGGTGTCATTACGGCTGGAAGGGCCCCCTGTGTGACCAGTGTGAGACGTTCCCTGGCTGTGTCTATGGAAGCTGCAGCGAGCCCTGGCAGTGTGTGTGCGACGTCAACTGGGGAGGACTGCTGTGTGACAAAGGTCAGACACGTATCGTTGTTATTTGTCCGTAAAAAAAACAAAGAGTTTAAAATCGTACGTTTCTGTGTATCTGTTTAATTGAACATCAGAAATGTTTAATCGTTTAAATTTAAAAACACATAAGCTTCATCAAATATCTATCGCCATTGTTTTTTTGGCACTCTCAATTGACCATGGGTGTGAATGGAAATCTGAATGGCAAAGTCTGTTGTGATTGGCTGGAGCTCCTGCTAAAGAGGATGAAATGTTGGTAGACGAATCATTAAATTAGATCAAATTAAATTAGAGATTTTGATTTTTTCTTATCTGGTAATCCACCATGGACATGTTAACGGAGACAATGAAATCGGTCATGTCCAGTTATTTTATTTCTAAGAAAACTGTGGCGATTGCTAATTGTCACATCAGCGCCAATTTGTAGTAAAGATCTTCTCAGCATAAATAACAGCATCCTGATCACCTGCTTTGCTGTAACCAATCAATGAATCAATCAGTCTACCAATATTTATTGAAGTGGTTCCTTAAAAACAATCAAGAAATAAAATTGGTTAAAAAAGAGTAACACAGTAAAGTCAAAAATGCTTGCTGTCACTGGCATTTTTGTCATTCTTATCAACTGTCGTAATTGGCTGTTTACCGTAAGTACAACAATACTGTGTTTACCCAGTGAGTAATCCAGTAAATAATACGTCCACAGTGTATCATTTGTCACCAGTGTGTGAAAAAAGAAAAGTTTACACAGTTAATTTTTGGTGAGGCGTTTTCTCGCCCCACCTTCTAATGCTCTGTTTGGAATAAGACAATCTGCCCTCTGGGGGTTTTCACGCTGCACTCTGACTACATTTCCCACCACGCTGAAGCAGGGCGCTCCTCACACATTATCCCTGAGTACAGCTGATCACCTCCCACCTCTGTCCGAGTGTGGGAGCCGCATGGGATCTTTTGGAGCGAGCGAATGCCCACGGGAGAGTGTATTGTGCAGCAGAAAGGTGATAGTCTTGGGTACGGTGAATGCTGGGCTGGGCTGGGCGCTGGGAGCTAGGTGGGGTCCCTGAGAGCTACTTCAGAGTGTGTGAGTGTGTGTGTGTGTGTGTGTGTGTTCAGATAACAGGTTTAAAGAGTCCTGCTGAGACAAAGGAGACTGTGGGCACGGAGGTGATTGTTAGAAGATACAAAGCTTTAATCAGCCACAACACAGGAGGCAACAGGCCCTGCAGCTACCACCCAACACAGGCAGTACACTCACGGGGCTGAACACTGGCAGGACTCTGTGCCGCTCCTGGTTCACTAACTCACCTTTGAACCGGCCGCCGCATTCAGAAAGAAAAAAATAACAGGTTTGGAACCTGTGGAGTTGGTTCTCAAGGGAACCAAGAAATACCTGGTTCTCCCCTGAGAACCATGACATCATCAGTGTGCGTGTGTCGGATTCTATGTAAAAAAAAAAATCAGTAAACAAAAATTAAAGTGATTTTAAATTCTGACTGCACTGTATACCCATCACTCATTGTTGCTATAATACACACGTTGTCATTTATACGCACTGCTGGAAAAAACGTTGCAGTTTCACTGAAGCGCCTCAGGCTTCAAACTCAACTCCCAGCATTTGTTGTGCCCGCTGTCACTACACTGACCCACAGTACTGACTAATATACTCCAGATACTCCATGGAAATACATTTTGAGCTGTACTTTTGCATAAAGTTCTTGACATATTTCCATATTATTAGTTTCATCTTTTGAACCAGTCACGAATAAAAACAGGTGTGAAACACAAACGTCCGCCTCCCCTTTTTTTTTCATATGTATGAATGTGAATTTATCTCAGTTATTCATGATTAATCACGATTAATCAGGACAAATTGTGATCAATAATTATTTTGATTGATCATATTGAAATTTTACATTTTTACCAGCGCTGGTTATTTAATGAAACTCCTTCACTGTTTCAGATCTGAACTACTGTGGAACACACACACCCTGCAGGAACGGTGGAACCTGCACCAACACAGAACCGAACGAGTACAAGTGTGAATGTCAGGAAGGATTTAAAGGACGGAACTGTGACATAGGTGAGTGTGGGAGTTTAACCACCGCGGTTAAACTCTGTTAAACTCTGTTAAACCCCCCAGAGGTTAATTAACCACCACGGTTATTTCAGATCAGATGTTCACACTGGTCCCATGACTTAGTTTAAATATCGTGCTCGATTATCTGAGTACAACAATGTTGTTTTTATTTATTAAATCCCAACTTATAATATTTTCCACAAGAGCAAAAAACAGAGCCTCTTCAACGCTGTTTTTTTTTTATTTATGCAGCAGCTGGTGACCATACTGCCACCAAACAGGATTTTTTTTTTACTAATGAAATGTATTTCTAACCCTACATATCCTGATGATTAATAACAAAAAGAACAAATTAGTTGTACATAGAAAAACTAAGCAAAGGTTCAAATCAGAATGGGTAGAATTTGCCTCATTTACAAAAGGAAAAAAAAAAGAGTCCCTCATTCGTCCAGCACGGGCTGCCACCGGAGGCACTATTAACAACGTGGTTCCTCTGGGGGCTGGAACACTCCATGTCTCCGTGTTAAACAAGCGTTTTGACGGGCCGTTTAATGAGGCTAATGTGTGTGCGTCTCTGCTCTGTCCATGTTGCGTCGGCGGCTGACAGTGGAACACGCGTGTTTGTCGTCCCCCTGTGTGAACGGAGGCACCTGTGTGGAAGACCCCACAGGCTTCAGCTGCATCTGTGCCGATGGCTGGACCGGAAACACCTGCTCCGATGGTGACTGTCACAATCACACACACACACAGACAAACACACAGACAAAGGGACATTGTCTGTGATTAGCTGTTATTGGACAGAGGCCAGTGAGGGGCTTTAATCAGTCCAATAGAGGAAGTGAGATCAGTCCAAACACAGGCAGTATCAACAGTAATCACTGATGTCTCATCCTCTGTCTAGGTCTCGCTCTGTACCTCCTCACATTTCTTTTTCGGTTGGTAGTGTTGGACTGTGTAGAGCATATGTGTCAAACTCAAGGCCCGGGGGCCAAATGCGGCCCACCAAGCCGTTTTGTGTGGCCCACGGGACCTGAGAAATTAAATCAAATAATAATCAGTTGCAGAAACATGTATTAGTCTGTATTGGACTAGTTACATCTATACCAGTGGTCCTCAACCTTTGTTGTTCCAAGGTCTGAGCATCAAAGGATCATTCAAATTTCAAAATAAAACATCTTTTTGTTTGTATCAGAGTCTGAATGACCTATTATTTTGAAACATTGCCAGATTCTCTTTAACTAAAGAAAGAAAATGGATATGACTGGATTTTCTTTGAATGGACTAAAGTAGTTAAAGTTGAGTACATTTTTTCACTGTGTCCCACTGTGGCCTGGTACCAAATGACTAATGGACTAGCACTGGTCCGCAGACCCAGGGTTGGGGACCCCTGATCTATACAGTCTTCCATTTACAACCGGCCCTTCAAGGGGAACTGTACTGCTGATGTGGCCCCCGGTGAAAATGAGTTTGACACCGCTGGCATAGAGAACTTGGTATTCACATGTATAGGAATGGATTTGCATAGACAAAGAAAATGTGTTGACACCCAAACCTTTACCTTGGCCCACACAGTGGCAGATGTTGGTACAACACTTCATCACTGGTGATCTTTCTGTATGGAGTTTACATGTTCTCCCTGGTCCTCTGACTTCCTCTGACCATGGGTATGAATGTGAGTGTGATCGGTTGTTGGTCTCTATGTGTGGCCCTGCGATGGACCAGTGAACAGGGTGTGTCCCGCCCTCGCCCGTAGATAACTGGGATCGGCTCCAGTGCCCAGTGTAGATAATGAATGTTTTTGTCTCTGATTATGTGACTGATTTAAAAATCAGTTCCAAATCAACTACTATTTATGAGAAAAGCATGAACATTAAAAAAACTGGATCTGGTTTTAGATCTTCTGCTCATGGATAAAGTCAAATGCCTCCAACTCCAACCAGAAAAAAAAAAAGAAAAGAAAATTCAGACTGTTAATCACACGGGAGAAAACGTTTGTAGCAACATCCGCTTCCCTGTGTTCATGGGAGAAAAGTTTAAGTGAGGCATCAACCAATTTCACGAATGTCATTTAATCAGAATGTGTTTGTGCTGTGAGGAAACTGATAGCGATGCGCAGGATAGAGACAATATACAGTGCTGGTGAAAAAGGAAATTACATGTTGTCGTTGGCCTTTGTTTGTTTGCAGCACTTTGAACCACATCAGAATGTGTTTTCCTAAAATTTGCAAAGATAGACTGTGTCACTTTGGTTATTTTTAGCCATTCTGGTGTAACTGACAAAACACCAGAAACAGTGTCATCGTCTCCAGGCTTGACCCGGGATAGAAAGATTTTTATTTGCTGTAAATCTGTTTACAAGCATTGAAAAACTGTGAATTTAATGTTATTATATGGTGGTTTTTTCAAAGCCTTCAGAGAGGTAACATTTCTCATTCCTTTCATTTTTAATTTCCTACCAAACCACCAGTGAATCTCCTGATGCCATTTTAAACATTATTCAAAAGTGGCTTTTTTCATTTTCTATCACAAAAATATTAATAATATTAATAATCATTTTTAGACATTTTTAATAATAAACAGAAAAATGATGAATATTTTCTTGACAGTCATTAAATTTAAACCACTTAACAAATATTCACTTGCAATTTACAGTTCTTTCAGAAAAAGTCTGCTTTGTTGTTCTCAGGTTTGTGGTAGTCTATAGAGGAGTGGGAGTGTAAGAGCTCTGCTCTGAATCTTAGCTGTTACCAGGACAGAGAAACCTCAGTTCTTGTAGCTGTACCTCACAGACGGTGAGTCACAGAGTCGGTCCTTGATTTTCAGGATTTACAGGATCTTCTGTCTAACGTGACTGACTAACGGGTGTTATTTGATCAGTATTAGTTGACAGGTTAGTTGACATTCAACAGTCTGTAGAGGTGGATTTGGAAGTCTTTTTCTTGGAATTTCTTTCTGTTGTTGTTTTTTTTTTGCTGCCTGTTACTTCTGAGTCGCCACAGCAGTGATGGGCTCCATCATGTGACCTGTGTTTGTGCGTGACAGTGGTGACAGGTGAGCTCCGGTCACCCGGGCTACGGCCTGTCACAGTTGTTGTTGTCTGTATCAACAATCCCCATCCTCTGCTTTTTTACCTCCGTCACCATAAACATCAGCAGAGCAGTTTGGTTGACGGCTTGTAAACACTTTGACAAAACACGTTTATTTTTTGCTCCGGTTAGTCACTCTTGTTTTTTGTTGCCTAAGTGCCAGTTTATCTCTGTCTGTATATGTGTTGTGGTGATGGGAGGGGGGAGAACACAGCGAGAGGATTGTGAGACTTGCTGGGAATGACAACCAAAACCACAACACAGACAACAGAGCTCTGTTATCAAGACTGGATTTATGTGTGTGTGTGTGTGTGTGTGTGTGCTGTATATTCTAATATGAACATTAATTAAAGGCTGCTCTCTGCAGTGATTTCTCTGCTATAGATTAGGGAGAAGTCCTCCACTTTTGTGGAAACACTCATGCATGGAAAATGTCATTAGAGTCGTGCCACGGACATATATATATATATACTGTATAAGAGATGTTACGAAACACATCACCAATGACATACATGTTCAATGGGAAGCTATGCAGGGGTAAGCACCACACTGTGTTCCCAGTGTCTGCGCTGTTTTCCCCTGTTTCCTTATATGTTTTTAATTCTTTGACAAAGCGGCGGATTTAGGCGTGGCGCCGCTGTTTTGCTATTTCTATTTAAACCCACGTCTTTTATTTACTGCCATCCTTCCTCCCTTCCTTGATTTAAATTCACCAGTTTCCGCTCTGGGAAACGTTTGAGGTGTCGGGCCATGAATGTGCAGCAGATGATTGTTTTTTATCAGTGTTTGCCCAGAAAGCAGAGCAGCAGAGCAGAGAGTGAGAAGACGAGCCGACACGTGGTGAAGACACATTTACATGCATTAAAAAAAACCTCCTTCTGTCATAAAATGTTTTCCTCTTTCTCTCTCAGCTGTGAGGCAGTGTGATCGAAACCCCTGTGGACGCGGAGCGACGTGTGAGGACGCTCCTGGAGGATATCGGTGTGTCTGCCCCCCTGGTTGGTCGGGCAGGACATGTCAGTTAGGTCAGTGGGTGTGGGACTTTATCATCCGTAACTTCTGTGTGTTTTTTACGTCATAAAGTAATAGTAGTAGTAGTAGTAGTAAAAAGATACAAATATATTCAAGATGAAAAATACCTGAGGGATGCAAAAAAAAAAAAGAATTGCATGAAGTAGACTCTTTGTAATCAATGACAGTACATTTTTATGAAATAGCAATATCTGACACAATAAGCAAATTCACAGATCAAATATCACTGCATTCATAAAAAAATTGATTCGCCAGCAGGAGCAGTATTTTTGGAGTAGTGCTATTGATTCACTGAAGGGCAATTTGCATTTGAAGGTACAAATTTTAAAGCCAAAAAAAAAAAGGAGTCAGCGACAGGTTTATTCTCCCATAAACTCAGCCTGACTCTGATCAGTATTCTGTAAAAGCAGCATCACTGCGTCGCTGGTTCATACTGACAAGTCTGATCCCAGAGGGTTAATGTGTTAGACGGTGTATCGGGGGTGTGGTGTATATGGTGTACACAGTGGCTGGGGGTTAAAAAGTGAGATATACGTCACACTGACAGTCTGGCCTGCTCCTCTGTGTTACAGTGATATGTCACTCTGACACTTGATAATCCCCCACAGTTCCACATCACCGGTCACTGGCTCATAGTATATTACTACACACACAAGTCATGAAGTACTACACATTTTTACCCCCAGTTATAAAACTCTTAGTAGTCTGTGTTGAAGCAGAACCAGTTGATGTTCTGGATCAGGGGTGTCAAACTAATTTCCACCAGGGGGCCACATCACCAATACAGTTCCCCTTGAGGGGCTGGTTGTAACTGGAAAACTGTATAGATCAGGGGTCCCTAACCCCCGGTCTGCGGACCAGTACCAGTCCATAGGTCATTTGGTACTGGGCCACAATGGGACACAGTGAAAAAATATACTTCATTTTTTTACTAATTTACTTCATTCAAAGAAAGTCCAATTATATCCATTTTCTTTATTTAAAGATAATCTGGAAATATTTTAAGATAATAGGTCACAGGTAACAGGTGGTCATCTCAACACAGACAGGATTCTTAAACTACATGTGTACAAACTGCCACATTTAAATATATATTTAATATTTAAGGTGGAACTTGGTGATGTGGCGAGCCGCTGCAGTTGAAGGCAACGATGACATCACCTCAAAACACACTTGTACTTTTATTACACGCCATACGGCTTTAAAGTCTTGTTCTTCTTGTTCCCGACACACACACACACACACACACACACACACACAGATGAATGTAAACAGACCTCTCACCTGCGGTGACGGGCTTAGATTACCTATAACTGGCTGACTAGCTCCTCTCTTCTAATCTTCGTCCTCCGCCGTCAGCACCTGAGGGGACTCGCTGTAGTCTTTCACACTCCCCAAAACAACGGACTGTGGGAATAAACACCTGTAAACTGATCTGAAGCACCGGTGAATGTTAGTAAATAAGAGAAAAGGTTATCTGTTAAAGAATGTTCAAGGCCTGTAGGAGATTTTCAGATGTTTCATCGTTAGTTCACACTGACTGGGGTAGTTGAACGAAGACTTTCCTTTCAAACCTTTCGATTTTAAAGTTCAGTTGTTGACCTTGACTGAGGTCACTTTAATCGCGGTCTAATTTATTCTTACTTATACATCTTAGTTCCTGAACAAAAGGGACAAGTCCAGTGATTAGGAGGTTTGATCGGAAGCGTCTGATCCCAGAGCAGATGCTTCAGGGACAGGACTCTTTAATTGTCTTTAAAACAATCACAGTCAGTCAGATGTGAGTTCGGTTGTTATCTTAACTGATTGGCAAATGTACAAATGTTGCTTCTCCTTCTAACCTCTGTCCTCTGTCTGTCTTTATGTCTTTGTTCCTTCAGACACCAACGAGTGTGAAATAAATATCTGTGTCCACGCCCGCTCCTGTCGCAACCTGATCGGTGGATACCTGTGTGATTGTCTTCCTGGATGGACAGGTCCTAACTGTGACATCAGTGAGTATGGAGGAAAGGAGGGGGGGAGGAGTGGAGGGAAAGGAAAGGAAAGGAAAGGACAGGAAAGGAAAGGAAAGGACAGGACAGGAAAGGACAGGAAAGGAAAGGACAGGAAAGGAAAGGACAGGAAAGGAAAGGACAGGAAAGGAAAGGAAAGGACAGGAAAGGAAAGGACAGGAAAGGAAAGGACAGGAAAGGAAAGGACAGGACAGGAAAGGAAAGGAAAGGACAGGAAAGGAAAGGAAAGGACAGGAAAGGAAAGGAAAGGACAGGAAAGGAAAGGAAAGGACAGGAAAGGAAAGGACAGGAAAGGAAAGGAAAGGACAGGACAGGACAGGAAAGGACAGGAAAGGAAAGGAAAGGAAAGAGAAAGGAGGGATGTGACAGGTAGAGCAGAACTAAAGGGAAGGAAAAAAACAGGAAACCAAGTCTCAAACAGAATGTATTTACATTCACCCTGTGACGTATGCCTGTCAGTCTGAATTTTATCTTCTTCTGTAGTTTGTTGTCTGCAGCATCAAAGTTCCACATCATGTCTTGTTGTGACAGTTTAATCAAATCCTCCTTCTGCCGTCTCTGCAGGGAACAGCAGCTGTCAGGGTGTGTGTCTGAACGGGGGACACTGTGAGGTAGGATCTCGGTCTGTCTGTGGACATTTCTGCTCCTGTCGTCTTTCTCTAATGTTTCTTCTTCTACTCTGTGGACATCTCTCTACACATCATTCATGGATCTGGTCCAGGGACTCTTTACAAGCATCATGTCTAACTGAACATACAAAGGAAATATCATTGAGGGATTGAGGTGTGCAGTATTAACCCTACCTCCTCTTCACCTACAGGATCAGATATCAGGGTCGCGCTGCAGGTGTTTGCCTGGTTTTTCAGGGAAATATTGCCAAAATGATCCAAATCCTTGCCACAGCACCCCCTGTCTAAATGGAGGACAGTGTGTGGAGAAAGATGGAAAGACTGCTTCCTGTATCTGCCACAAAGGATATACAGGAATCTTCTGTGAGGTAGGACGACCTTCACAGGGTCCAGTGATTATTGATTCAGCAGCTCAAACTTCAGCTGGAGGAAGTGTTTGACTTCCTTTCTTACATTTTTAGACTGTATTGGATTTGTGCAACCCCAACCCCTGCCCACAGGGGTCACCCTGTCATGTAACTGAAGGGAGGCACGTGTGTGGCTGTCCGGAGGGTTACTATGGAAGTCACTGCACAAACCTCAAAAGTCCCTGCATTGGTCAGCATTGTCCAGGTAAATATCCAGAAGTCTAAAAAAGATCACTTTAAAAAAAAAAAATCAGGTTTAAACAATCTGTTTTCTCTGGGTGTAGGTGCCATGTCTGACCCACCGTCAGGGGACATCAGCTTCTACATGATCCTGGTGGGTATCGGAGCCCTGGTCACCGTTTGTGGCTGCGCTGCCTGCGCCTTCATCCTTTCCCATCAACACAGAAAGAGGAAAAAGCAACAGGCCATACCACCAGAGGAAGGCATCAATAACCAGCGGGAGTTCGTCAACCTCATTAGAAACGTGGACCGTCCTGTTCCTTCCCTGTCCCCTGCCACAACCCTGATGCAACCGACGACCCCCGTTCCTGTCTCACGTTGCTACGAGGAGATTGAACTGACCCTGCCACCCTCCCCGGCCCCCTCTCACCCTTCACCGGCACTGAAACCAGTCCACGCTCCCAAACTGGACATTTCAAACCGAGACAGAGAAAAGTTGAACCGCTTTCACTACACAGACAACCAGGAACTGGAAGTCTGACTGGATACATTTGAAGTTCTGTTACTGCGGATTTTTTATATTTTCTTCTGCACTCTCTGACTCGCAGGGCCATGTGTCCAGGCCTTGAATCATAGTTGCAGTTTTGAAAATGAAGAGACCTTTTGACCATTGTGTGCTCAGATGGCCATTGGCAGACACTTAAGAAGCACGGGCTGCTAAGACTGGTTTCCAGGTCAAAGGTCTTACCCATATATTTCACTGGATGCAATCAGCACAGGTCAGATCACACCAGACTGGAAATAAGACAAGGTATCAACCCACAACTTCCACCGACCTTCAGAATAAAACAGAATAACCAACTCTGTCATTACTGCTATTGTAACTGCAGCAAAACTAAGTAGGACATAATAAAACAACAATAAAATAATTCAAAATATTTCAGAAAATATAAAAGAAACAAAAGTTACACAAGTGCTCTTCCACATGTGAGAGGCAAATTAAACTATCGTTTCTTAATTTCCTCTATACAGTCCATTTATCGCAGGATCTCGTGGTCTTGCATGCTTTCGGAATTATCGCGGAATCTTGAAATATCGCGCAAGTTCAGCTAGCTCGCTAGGCTCCGTGCCGCTCTGCAGCCATGACGCGCCACTGATGCACCCAGTGAAATATCAGGGTTACTGTGCTGATGCCTTTGGGCCTCTTTGGACGTCTGTTAGGAGCAGGAGGTGTATGAAGTTTGACTGAAGGACCCATCCAAACAGAGACACCCTGGAGTGCCTGAAAGGCTGTCACAAAGAGAGCGAGGATGGCCCCCTGTAGTATCCTCCCGACATGTGGACTGGTCCATGATGGTGTCTGACGGAAGACTCCATTTGACTTGAACTCTTGACAGTGAGAGCGCTGAGCGGATGTTTATTTAACTGTGTGTTTCTAAGTCTGGTTGTGTGTGAGAGAGAAAGAGTAAAGCAAAGGTGTGTGTAATGACTACAAGTGGTGAAAACAGGAAGAGAAGTTGCTATTTTATTTGAAATAAAGATAGAGTAAACATGGAGTGGATGCTCTGGAACTGAAGGCCCTTTAAAGACTGTCTATATGACTATACACTGTTGCCTGCATTGTCCCTGTAATACAGTATGTTGATGTATGATTTTTTTTCATACCTGAGTGTAAAATAGAGTTCTGTACATAAATATATTGTACATATTGTTGATCTTTTTGTACTGTGGTTTTGGTCTGAAATGATCTCTGTACTGCTTCGCCATAACTGTTCCGTTTGACTTTGTCTTTGGAGTAATCAGCACTGCTGGAAAGTAATAAAGGCCATTAACAACATATTTTGTATTGCCTATAATAATAACCCTTAGGGTTATGGACTATTTCTGCAGCAGGGAGATGTCAGTGCTGCAACAGAGACCATTCATGTGCTTTACACCGTTATGGGAGTAAATGTACATAACAAGAAAAAATTAACAACACCACCTGGTTAAACAGGCAGGTAGTAAATGTGCTAAATCTGACATTCTGAACATCCAAATTACAAACATTCCTATTTTATCTTCTTGTTTTTACATTACGAATATGTAATAATTCCTTTGCTAGAACATTTGCCCATCAAAGAAAGACACAATCTTTTATTTTATTTCATAAATTGCTATACATTTAGTATTGTATTTTAAAATATGACTGAATTTTGACTTACACTGCAAAAGTTTCAGTATTTGTTTCATTTTCTCTGGGCTCTTCAGTTTCCTACTGCATTGTTAAAGCATTAATATTCGGTATTGTGTGACATAAATTGACCTTTGGTTTGAATGGTGGTTTACTTCCATAAGTGGCTCTGTGATGACCCACATGTAGAGAGCCACGGTGTTTCTCTATCACCCTTCAAACATCAGACAGTGTTGGATAAAAGAATGTGCATACAAAGTTCTCAGATACACAATAATGCTAACAGTGTCGGACATGGACGACCAGGATTGATGGTAAACAACTGTGTTTGTAAGAAATATTTCAGAACTTTAGCGGTTGTTAGCATTGTCAATAAATTTGCTGATTGTTAATAGCAGATACATTTAGTAACAACAGGTTTCACAAAGCATCTATTTCAAGTTATGTGGGACAAAAGCTTAAGTCCCTTGCATGCAGCACAACTATGTCAGGCTGATTTAGGATGATAAATTTGCTGTGCAACAACAATGTGAGAAAGGAAGGGGTTTGTGTGTCAGGTCAGAGTAAAGTAACTGCCAGGTCACAGCAGCAACAATTAATGAGCAAATGGACGTTACAAATGTCAATATGGCCTGTGCAAACAGCCACAGCTTGGAAATGAGCACAGGCTTCCCGTCACCACCCTGGTTAAGAGGAAATGTAGGAAACAGAGTTCACTCACACATGCATTCACTGTTGCATACACCCGGACATGTATAGAACTATTCTACACCTGCAGTGAGGCCCAGGATGTCAGACCGCAGTTCATAAATAAATAAAAAAAGTTAACATGGCGATAACAGCATGTCACGTAGCAAATTATTCCAAAAAGGTTTAAAGTTTCCGAAAATCTAAAACAAAAAATAATAATAAAAAATACATAATAAACATTTTAGGTAATTGATTTTAAATGTCTTCTTACTATAAATGGTACCTTGCCGATAATAGGTACAAATTACTGTCCAGTTAGCTTAAAATAAGATGAATCATGCTGTAATGAAAGTGTAGTAACAATTATAAATAGCACGTATTTACAAATTTAAATTTCTATTCCAATTTGTCACTCTGTACAGAGGTCTACATATGTAGTCTAGCCTAAATCGCCATCTTGTGGCTACTAGGAGTACTCTAATTTAATTAATGGCAAAGGTTGGAAGTTAGCGCCCCCGTCTGGTTTTGTTTCAAACTGCATAGACCTACACTGAGTCCACGGTGGAGGCGTGTGAGTACTACGCTATCGCCGTATCGTCTCAGTCTGCGTTAAAACCTTATCAGTGTGTGTTGGTGCTCATTTAACAGGTAAGCGCAATGATTTATGGTTATGCATGGTTGTTGTATGTGCTATTTGATTGATGTTTATTATATTCTTATTCACACGTTTTTATCTAACGGTTCCGTTGCTTACATGCTAACAAACCCAAGCTAAAGCTAAAAGACTAGCAACATTGAAGCTAACAAGTGAACCAAACCCGACTTGTTCTGCGCATGTGCATGTGCGAAGCTACTTCCTTATTTCGGCGCCAGGGAAGTTTGTGCTGCCTTCAAGTGCCATTGGGATTTACTATGAAACGTTAAACTATTGTAATTAAAGCAGTTAAGCAAAAATTAACGGCAGTGATACTTCTCCACAACACTATTAGTAATGAAATTGATTTTTATTAACGGAGAAAGGAAATAAGAAAAGTCTGATTCTGCGAATGCACGTCTTGAGTGTAAACATACTGGCTTTTTCTAAGCTTTTGAATCTCACTGTCACTCATGGTTTTTCTAAAAATCTTGAAGTGATTTGGCACGATTGTAACGTACCTATACTTATGTTGTTTGTTTTGTTATTGAACATGATGTTGAACATGTTTCACTAATGTACCTTTATAAAAACTACCGTAACAGAATGTGGTCATACTCTTGCACATGCGTAGAACAAATCGGGTTTCTGGCACGGGTCGGGTATTGACAAGGCCCACCCTACGTGCGCAACAAACCAGGCCATGTGAATGCTAACGAATGTGTAGTTCAAGTTATAAACATTTTTGTTTCCACAAATTCTCTCCCGACTAAAGTAGAGGCACTATAATGCACTAAATGCGTATTTCCAAAAACAATGCTGTGGTGTAATTTGTCCAGCAGATGGTTCGGGATCACCAATTGCATTAGCTTCAGTCTATTTGTTCGACTCAGTCCGAATTAGTTTAAATAAGTGTTTATATGCAGTGAATTACTTGTCGCACATCCCATTACATCTGACACGCGTTTATAATGCTTAAAATACCTATTCCCTATATATGCATGTTGCCTATTCATGTGTCATTTAAAATGATGAAAGGATTATATCAGTCGTGTGTCAAACAGTTGAAGGTACAACATGTAATTAGTCGCATACAATTTTTGTTTTTTTAGTTTACGTTTTTTTTAGTTTACGGTATTATTGCTATCTTTGTCACAATAAACTGTATACAACACTCAGTCAGAGCTGTCAGCAGTCTTTGTGAATAAAACAGACCATAAATGGTTTACTTTTTGAATAAATAAGGCATGATGTCACTGAAGGTTTCCGCTGACTGAGGTAGCCAAAAGAGACATTCATGCAGATCAAATAACGTTTTCTAATAATTTTGTCTTTCTGAGGCTTTTGTTTCCAAACATAGTCTAACACTGCAGCTACATCCATCATCTGTTAGCTTGACCAAGGACAAAGTGAAGCACAACCTGATAATAAAGCAGTGATTTGGTGTCCACTGTATTTCTACATTGATTGGTTGTTGGGGGGTTAAATTAGCCACCTTCAGAAGCTGTTTCCTATGAACTCTTATACAGTTTTTCTCACTTTGTTCCTTTCTTTTTTTACTTGCCCTTTGCAGCAGCCGTGCCACGCCGCGCCCCCACCCCAAGCGGAGCCGTCATGTGGCAGGAGGCCCGCAAACATGAGCGAAAGCTCCGTGGCATGATGGTAGACTACAAGCGCCGAGGCGAGCGTCGGCGCGAATACTACGAGAAAATTGTATGAGATCATAACAGTTTATGTGGATATGTTTATTTGTTATAGATGAGCCTCTAAAATGTTAAATTAGTCAGCGCATGCTGCATTTATTGACATTTGTAAATGTTTAAATGGGAGATCAAAATACATGACTTCGTTACTGTCCAGTTCATAAATGGCTTTGGTTTTGTTTATACAGAAAAAAGATCCAGCCCAGTTCCTTCAGGTTCATGGTCGGGCCTACAAGATCCACCTGGATCCTGCTGTGGCACTAGCTGCCGAGAGCCCCATCAACATGTAAGATAACTACACCGCCCATAGAAATACTTGAACTAATGTGGGTTTACGATAATGTGTTCAAATATTTTTTCTGCAGGATGCCTTGGCAGGGAGATGCCAACAACATGATTGACAGGTTCGATGTCAGGGCTCATTTGGACTACATACCCACTTATACACCACCACTGCTCAGCACCACGTAAGTCGCAAAATCACTTTGGTTCAGTTGTCCTACAGTATAAATGGTGTGTCTTAGTCCTACACTAAAAAAATGGCATCACTTCCTGTTATTCCTGTTATTTATTATTCAGTAATAGAGGTCAGCGGTGAACAGAGGTCAAACAAATATTTTTTTCTTTTACATATTTGGAAATGGTGGAACAAACTTGTTTTTTTTTTCTTTTATATCATGGATAGCATCCAAGAGAACGAAATGGAGGAGAGAAGGTGTAATTATGAACGCTACAGGGGCCTCGTGCAGAATGACTTTGCCAACAGTGAGTATCATGAAACTTTTGGGTTAGAAAGCAAAAAAATAATCCCAGACCTACATTTACAGTGAATCCTCTTGTACATTAGATTGATTTCACGCTGCAATCACAGCCTGTTTAAGCCACTGTTTAGTGTTGCACATGTTCATTTTGTTCTCTGATGGCACACGAGCCTGTCCTCTGTGGATTTGAGGTGGTGTTGTCCTTTGTATCCCTAAACTCCCTGTTGTCCCTACAGTCTCCGAGGAGCAGTGTTTGTATCAGATCTACCTGGACGAGTTGTATGGTGGCCTGCAGAAACCAAATGAGGAGGAAAAAAAAAAGTAAGGCCTTCTGTTTTAAAATGCTTTTGGTAAAAAATCTTTGCATTGTCTTGAGCCATTACAAATCACTTTCCAACCGATTTCTTGACATCAAAATCTCTGGTGACTCCAGAGGCTTTGTTTCAGTTATCACAGCTGTCAATCAAGATGCGGCAGCTCAGATATTTTTATGAGCTGTATAGTATATGAACCTGATTTATAGTCATGAAGGTGAAATAATATAGTTGTTAAGGGTTGTGGCATTTCTAGACATTACGGGCAAATCCATTTGGATTCCAGGTGACCCTATGTAGGGTCATGACCCCAAGGTTGAATAACATCGCCTTAAATGGACACAATTGTTGACTTTTTTGTTTTTTTACAGACTTGCGGAGAAAAAGGCCACCATTGGTTACACATATGAGGACAGCACTGTGGCAGAGCCTGAGCCTCAGTCAGACAAAGACGAGGACAATTCAGAAAACAGTGAATCAGAAGAGGATGAGGGCATCCCTGATATTGGTGAGTTTTAAGTTAAAACGTTTACTGCACCCATCCACCAGCAGAAATGTTCTTATATTGTAATGTTTGAACTCAGCGCTTTTCTTTTGTATTATACTGACCTGTAATGAAATGAGAAATTGGTGGTGTTTTTAATAAAAGGTCTGTTTTCGGGGTGTTCTTGCAGATGTGGAGGTTGATGTTGATGAGTTGAACCAGGAGCAGGTGCTGGACATTAACAAAATGGCAACAACATATGGAATGGCTGAAGGGGACTTTGTCAGGTAACAAATGTGTCTCCAAATAAACGGGCCAGAAACATTAAAAGTGCAACTGGTAGCCTGTGCTTTAATTATTTAAATTAAGCCAATATCAAATTACAACTGCTCTGCTTCTCTCTGTTAAGACAAACATTGTTTTTTAATGCTGTCGTTGTTCCGGTTTATCAGAATGCTCAGGAAAGACAAGGAGGAAGTCGAGGCCATCAAAAATGCCAAAGCCCTGGAGGCAGAAAAGGCCATGTACTCTGTAAGATGCCACACTGACAATGTGCTTCTGTTTTCTGCAACTAAATATCTTCACGCTCTGTCTACAACATAGTCGAACACTCTGAGCTGATGTCAGAAGATTTGAACATATAAACTCAGTACAGTTTGTGAAGAAGAGAATTCAGTCCTAAAAACATTTATTAGATCATCAGAGAATTCAGATTCCCCTGTTTACCAGTTGGTCCACTTGAGGGACCCCAAGTACCGCCAGTGGTACAAATGCCATAATTTGAGAATGACTTTCATATAAATAAGAATGGGACAGAGCGATGCTGAGGAGGTGAAGCATTAGAATGTTTGTCAGAAATGTTCAGCTGTTTTCTGAAGTTCTTTAAAAATTAGACATGATACAGACATGATATTATAGCCTGAGCTTTTCATGAGTATGTGTGTGTTTGCAGGGCCGACGTTCGCGCAGACAAAGGAGGGAATTCAGGGAGAAGAGACTAAAAGGTAGACAGATCAGCCCACCAAGGTAAATTCATCTCTCAACATCTTCCTCACATTTGTCATTTGCAGGTGTGATCTCAGACTTCTCTCTGATTGTTTCATTTGTTTTATTAAAACCGTTTTGTTCACTCGCCTTCATTTCAGCTACGCCAGAAGAGACAGTCCAACGTATGATCCCTATAAAAGGTGAGTTAATACACATTGTTCTTTTTTTAATGATTCAATTTTTGATTGTTTGTTTGTTTTGCCTCATTGTTGTTTTTCTTTCTCAGACCGGAGTCAGAGTCTAGCTCTGAGTCACGGTCACGCTCTCGAACCCCGGGTCCGGAGAAGATTACCTTCATCACCAGTTTTGGAGGTAGTGATGATGAAGCTGTGGCAGCAACTCAAACGGCCGTCCCTCACTCTGGCCACGCCCCCTCCACCTTGCAGCAGCCTGCAGGTCATAGCAGGGGCTCCCGGTCGGTAACTTTCCCTCTCTCTGGCTTTTCTATGGTTATTTGCTCTTGCAAGAATCAATTTGAATTTGTTCACAGCTCTTGTAGCTCTTGTTTTTTTGGTTTGTTCTTTTGCTCTGTGAGGCAGCACTGTTCTCAAATAACCCACGTAGTCTTGCAAGTGAGAAGCAAATAGTTTCAGTTACACTGCATGTGTAAGCTAACGTGTATAATCGTCTTGAAGTTTGAGCATACATTTACTGGTTGATGACTTCAACAGGAAAACCCAGAAAACTAGTTCTATTCTATTTTTATTTTTCTGTAGACTATGAACCACCAACACTTTTCAACAAAGGCTAGTTGTTGATCTGTTCTCCATTCTTAAACACTGTCTTTGTTGTCCAGGAGACGCAGATCATCGTCCAGCCGCTCTCCTTCTTCCTCTTCGCGCTCCTCGTCACGCTCCTCCTCTCGCTCATCCTCCCGCTCACGTCGAGGACGACGAGGACGAGGAGGAAGGGACGGACGCCGTACCCGGAGCCACTCACGATCGAGGCGGCGTAGTAGGTCGCACTCCAGGGGTAGAGGAAACGGGGGAGCAGCTTACCGCAGGAGACGTGATCGATCGCAATCCCGGTCCAACGACAGAGACAGAGAGAGGGACAGAGACCGGGACAGGAAGCGATACTCGGCACGGAAGCGGTCAAGGTAACAATTCTCACCATTTCTGTTTTCAGTATTGAGGTTATGACTTTGTAATACATTTTTTTTTTTTTTTTTTTTTTTTAGGGCCCGTTTTAAATCGGGGCAAGGGGGGCGATCAAGGGGGGGGCGCCGGG